GTGATTTTTGGTCTTCTGGATATATACCTAATAGAGGAATTGCAGGATCAAATGGAAGGTCTATTTTTAGTTCTCTAAGTGTTCTCCAGACGTCTTTCCAAAAGGAACATATTAGTTTGCATTCCCACCAGCAGTGTAGAAGTGTTCCCTTTTCTCTACATCCATGATTGCCTAAGAATATAGGGAGGGTGGAGGGGGAGGGGGGGTGGATGAGTGGAAGGACAGTGATCAGAGGGATCATCTCTATGTTTATCTTACAAGGGTACAAGTGAATCTTTCTAAAAGTAGAATATAAACATCTTAACACAATAACTAAGAAAATGACATAAAGGCTATGTTAAAAGTTTGATGAAAATATTTCAAATTGTATATGAAAACACCACACTGTACCCCATGATTGCATTAATGTACATAGCTATCATTTGATAAAAAAAAAATATTGGGTTACTTTTCAAAAAAAAAAAAAGAATAGAAAGTTCACAAAAGCAAAATTGGGAATTGGGATGACCTAACTATAGCTAATAGGCTTGAACAGATAGAATATAAAATAGAAAATGGACACAATGTCTTGTATTAGTATATTTTTCAGTCACTCAGAAATGTCATATGGATAATGGTCCAGTTATTTATGGATTTCCAAGAGCTAAACATGATAAAGGAACTGTAATATACAAATATGATAATGACATGTTCCCTGTCTCAGTTGTATGAAAAGCTGTCTAAATCAGTACTTAGAGCAGGGACTCAAAAGTATCATTGGAGATGGACCAGCCTGTGGAAGGATCAAGTCTATAGAACAGGTCTATTATGTTGAACTGGATTAAAAAGGATTGTAATTATTACAATAGCCAGTATTTACTGAGTGGATCCCATATGTTAGGTAATATTTGCATCATTACAATGCATTTAATATTTATAACAACCTCAAGAAATGATATTATCAGTATCCATAACTTATCCTCATCTGAGGATAGAAAGTTAATGTAATTGTCCTTTGGAAAGTAGTGTCTATAGCCATTGGGTTTACCTGAGTGTTACCATCACCCAAGATTGATTCCCTTTGTATCTTATTCCTGAATCAGGATATCCTGCTGGAAGGAATTCCAGTATAATATAAATGGTTTCAATGCCTGTTACTGCATCACATGAATCCTTTTTTCCTTGTGGGAAGATGCATATCCTGTTAGAAGACATATCCTACTGCCCAAGTTTGTTTCCATTCTCCAGTCACTTAACTTTGCTGCCAAGCTTTTATGCTGCAATTGCTATGGAACATCTGAATAGTGAGACGTAGGTGTGACGGAGGTGTCCAGGGGTTGGAGTGGGTAGATTTGGCATCTAGGCTGTGTTCTAGGGCTTGGGCAGGGCACCTGCCACCACTAAGGCAGTGTGCAACATGCTTAAGATCAAGACTTTGATGTTGACAGAGCTGGGTTCAAACCCCACCTCTGTGTCTCACCTGGGGAATGACGATGCAACTTTGTGTCAGTGACCTACCCCTGCTATATGGATTGACTCTCATCCCCTAATGAATTCCTATGGTGAAGCCCTAGCCCATATGACTGTATTTGGAGACAGGGCCTTTAGGGAAGTAATTAAGGTTAAATGAGGTCATAAGGGTGTGGCCCTGATGCGGTAGGACTGCCTATCTTTTAAGAAGAGGAAAGGATACCAGAGATCTCTCTTTCCCTGAGTGTGCAGAGAAGAGGCCATGTGAGGACATAGCAAGAAGCTGGCCTTACAAGCCAGGAAGAGAGGCCTCACCAGAAAATAAAACTGATAGCACTTTGATCTTAGACTTTCAGCCATCCAGAATTGTGAGAAAATAAATTTCTGTCAGTGAATCCACCCTGTCTGTGGTATTCTGTTCTGGCAGCCCTAGTCGACTGTCACATCTGCTGAGCCTGCTTTCCTGCGAGGTAAGATGAATGACAGAACCATAGGGAACCATAGTCCCCTTCTCATGGGTTATCCTGAGAAACCATGTAAAAAGCTGAGCATGGCGCCTGGCACATGGTAAGAGCTTGATGATTTCAATTATTCTTATTGATACTAAAGTGTAGTTTCCTCCCCAGTCCACCGAGCATGACAATGCACCCTTTGAATGGTTCGTATGAGGTTGAAATGAGACCTGTGCTTCTCACACTCTCCCTGATAACAGAAGAGAGCGCATACCTATCTGGGAACAGGGGCGCGACACGACATGACAGGTGTGCTGGAATCATTTTTGAAGTCTCATGCTTTATCTTAAGCATATGTACAGACTTTTCACCCTAATTCATAATACAGACATGTTTGCAATTATTTATCAGATAGAAAACTGAGAATCTAGACAGATAAGCTGGTCTTATGTACCTCAGCCACATGACATGACCAGTCTACTTGCATTTTGAGATGGCCTTTGCAAGTAACAAAACTGTTCTGCTGTGGGGACCTAGTAGTATTCTCTTTTTATTTTTATTTTATTTTATTTTGAGACAGGAGCCTTAAGCTGTCCCCCTGGGTAGAGTGCCATGGCATTTCAGCTCACAGCAACCTCCAGCTCTGGGCTCAAGCGATTCTCCTGCCTCAGCCTCCCAAGTAGCTGGGACCACAGGCACCCACCACAACGCCTGGCTATTTTTTGGTTGGAGCCATCATTGTTGTTTGGCGGGCCCAGGCTGGATTCGAACCCGCCACCTTGGGTGTACGTGGCTAGCACCTTAGCCACTTGAGCCACAGGCACCGAGCCAGTATTCTCTTTTTAAAAGTCAACATTACTGTACCATTAATCAACTTGAAGTGTGCTATAATGTGTTATATATTACTAATTAAATATTACTAGTGAGCTTCTACTATGGGTCAGGCACTGTCCAGACTGACCACAACAGACCTGATCCCTGCCTTCCTGCAGCTTACTTCTACCCAGGGGAGGGAGACACTAAACCAGCAGGCAGATAACTATCTCTGCAGCACTGTGTCAATAATGTAGGAGGACGAAAGTAGGCTAGAAAAGCATGCAGCGGGAGGATCAGAGCCCTCGAATTTCTGAGCAGCGAGAGATTCCTGGGAAATCTAGCTTCCTGGAAGGAGTGCTCTGGAGGCAGTCTCCAGAAGTGGAAGCATTGGTTATCAAGCATTTAAGGCTAAGC